ATGAGAGGTTGAGAGCTGGCCATGCTCCGAGGATGGGAGCTCGAGAAGCTTTGCAGGGGAGATGCGACAAAACGGCAGCAACTGCGTCATTGATTTGCAGGAAACGCGAAGAGCGCGACGCACTTTAAGGGTCCGGGATCCACTCTATCGGGTCCGATTGAAAAGCGGGTCCGGGGATCACCCCTCCTTATTGCCGTTACCTTGTCTGTATGTCAGGTACAAAGTAGTGGATGTCTTAAGGAGCCGATCTAAATGGCCAATGAAGATAGGATGATATCCAAGAGCAACGGCCGTGTTTCGTTAGCTGCTAGATCCATAGTCGTGTTGGATACTTCCATCATCCTGCAAAGTGCACAGAAGTCAGCCTCAATACCCTGCTGTAGCGTCCAGCCTGTCCACGTCCTTCCATGGCAACGGTTATGGGCCACCCCCATTTCAGGCTTCCAGCGGCCGCGCGCTCTGTACTTGGCGTCTGCGCTCACCCGCCTCAGTGGCTGCCCCGCTGAAGGCAACCAACGGACCAACACTGACCAAGTCCCGCCAGCTGGCTCTTTCCAGACCATTCCGCCGCCATTTCTCAGCAACATCGCCATCGCCATCTCGCCATCTCGCTCAGCTCAGCCTCGAGCCACGAAATCCGAGGCCTACGTACACCAGACGAGCTCCAAGCACCTCGTTTACCGCAGAATAAATATTCGACACAGACGTCATCGCTCACAATGGCGTCCTCATCCAATTCCGACGAGACGAGCTACGTCAAGATGGACGACTCCAAAGACGGCTTCGACGAGACCCTCGTGGGCAAGCACTGCGAATACGACTACTGCAACCAGCTCGACTTCCTCCCCTTCTTCTGCCAGAGCTGCAAAAAGACCTTCTGCCTCGACCACCGCTCCGAGTCCTCCCACAAATGCACCAACGCGGGCGCCTGGGCCGAGCGCCGCCGTCAAGCCGAGCTGGCGAAGCCCGCCTACGGCGCCGGACGCCAGTTGCGCGACCACGTTTCCGAAAAGCCCTGCGCCTCGCCCCCCTGCAAGACCACCATCGGCACTTCGTTGGTCCCCGGCGTCCACTGCTCGGGCTGCAACCGCGACTATTGCCTCAGGCATCGCTTGAAAGAGGACCACGATTGCAAGAACCTTGTGCCGCTTGGCGCCCGACCCGGCTCGCAGATTGATGTTGCCGCACGGACGAGAAGCGCATTTGATAAGTTGAAAGCATGGGGAACGGCGAAGAAAGAGCAAGCAGGAAGGGCACTGCCGAAGCCAAAGCCTACGTCGGCATCGGCACGGCTGATTGCTGTGAACAACCTGAAGAAGACGGCCAAGGGCGATGATAAGCTGGCGCAAGAGAAGAGAGTCTATCTTTACGTCGAGGCCGAGGCGGAGACTGCCAAGGCCAAGTTTCCAAAGGGAGAATTCTTCTTCTCCAAGGACTGGGTCGTTGGAAGAGTGCTGGACGAGGCAGCAAGGAGGTTACAGGTGGAAAACGTGAACAACCGGTCATCAGACGAGAGGGACAAGCTGAGAGTGTTCCATGTAGAGGGGGGCAGGTTGCTGGAATTCAATGAAAAGGTCGGGGCTTCACTGGTCAGTGGTAACACGGTCGTGCTGTTGCGCGGAGTTGGCCCGCCGCCCAACTTGATGGAGGTTTAACGACGATGATGAATGATGAAGTGTGTTTATAGAAGCCTTTTTCCGTATATACCCTCAGTTGCACCACACGCCATAGAGGCTACGCTATACCTGGGCCAATACCATAACCATGGGAGATTTCAAATGCGCCGAGCCAGTCAATGAGTTGAATAACTGTTCCGGTCCAATCCATACCATGCTATTCCTCTGAACGCCAAATCAAAGTTCCTTCTCCTTGGGTCTCTTCGCCAACAAGTCTTCGCGGCCTGTGGCAGGCGCATCACCAACGGCATCCTTGCCGCCATACGTCTCAAAGCCCTTGTGGAAGACCCACTCCACTGCGTTCTCGACAGGCTCGTCAAAGAGACTGGGCAAGAAGGGAACGACAGCCAAACCAAGGCCAATAGGGCCCCAGGTTCTAACCCTGGCGTTCTTGACGTTCTTCATCGCCCTGCCAGAGTAGCGCACTACGCTGTGGATCGTGAAGGCCGGCAGACCCATACTAGCGATGCTCTGGAAGATTCCTCGCTGGACCATGACGGTTCGGTAGTCGTCCAACGGCGCAACCTTGCCACCGGGGACGACCTGGCTTGGGTGTGTGGCATCTGAGATGGCTTCCGGCAATCCCGTGATCTTCGCTTGCCTCTCGGTAAGTTGGAGGTGAGGGTTCAGGATGCGCTGGTTCGCCCAGTACGCCTTGTAACCTTCGTAACTGACATCACCTAGTATGTACAGCCAGGAGATACCATATGCGCCGCGGACAAGATAGGGATGCGCAACAGGGCGAAACGACTCGCCAATATCAGAAGTGTAGGCGACGTATCGGTGCGCAGACAGCAGAATGGTGCGGACGCGCGTGGCGTATGCCATGTAACGGACGTTGGACTCGGTAGACTCGGGTGCGCTGGAGAAGACATCAGCAGGGCTATCGGGAGGAATCGAGGGCACGTACTACCCGTCCACTAATTCATCGAAGAAGTTTTCCTCCTTGTCGGATTTGTCGATAATGTTCTGCAGAGCTTTTGGCAGCTTCTGCCTTGGGGGGAGCTTTTCGGGGTCGAAGGGCTTGGCGCCATTCTCGTTGTTGGTCGCCTCTTTCGACTCCTCGGGCTTCTTGTCTGAGCTGCGACCCCACCACATTGTGATCGATTGCTTGTGTTGGTATACTTCGTCTGAATCAGAAATCTTCAAAAGCAAAAGGAGGTGTTGTCAGCCTTAAGTGCGCATGGATGGCGGCGGTTGGGGTGAGGGGAGCCTAGGCGATGGCAACCACAACTTTTCCATGCGCTCGCCGGAAACGCCCGCGGCATCAACCTTCTGGTCCAATGTCGGGAAGTGACGTCGGCTTCGCTTCAGCGGGTTAGCACCTTCCTGGGGTGCATGGGAGCTTGCGCCACTCTAATCTGTGGCTGAATCACCCGGGGTTAGCTGTGGCTGAACTTCCCGCTCTCCAAGCCGCGCTAGACACTGGACCCGTCTTGAAATGGCCTGACATACCAGGCATTCGACTTTTCGCAGCTTCCGAACGAATTTCGAGCTCCGAACATTGAGCCGCCATTGCAGTTTCAATCATCACCACTCCACCCTCATCGAACCAATTCACCTCCGAAGGTCCGAATACCCCTCTAATACCGCCAAAATGGTTCAGATGTACACTGTCGCCGGCCGCCAGATCGGCTCCCACTACGTACGTTGCACCTCCGACTTCGCCCGCCGCTCCCTGCGGCGCCTTCGGCCGACCTGCAATACATGAAGATGCTGAACGACTGCTAACATGGGCCAACTTACAGCTGGCCATGGGTGTTCTTGCCACCCTCTTCGGCGGCGCTATTTACGGCACCAGCGGCGGCAGCAAGGTCAACAAGGCCACTGCCATCCCCCCCATCAACGCTGCCAGCTCCGACGAGGCCGACTTCATCAAGTGCGTGATTTTGCCTGGACGTTTCGAGGGCCTGCGATTGCTGACAACATGCACAGGAAGTTCTTGGACAGCGCCGACAAGGACGAGAAGGCGAAACACTAAACGGCGGGCAATCGGACGAGTCATTGGTCCATCGCGACCTAGTGTATTCATAGAGAGCGGACCTTGGTCGACGAGAATCAAAGACATTTTCTGACCAGACATACGACAATCTACGATGCGGGCATGTTGCCTTGTTCCATGTGGTCGGACACGGCTCGACAGAAGGATTCGAGACAGTGTCCATGATCTACCACGGCACCATCCTGAACTCACCCTGTTCGAACTCCCAGAACGTCCCAGGCTCAGTGACCCCCTTTTCTGATTCCAGCAAGCGCACGATTGCTTCTGCTCCGTCAATTGGCTCCTTCACCCCGCGGAAGTTGTTGAAGGCCGTCTTGCAATGCCCTGGACTAGTGGCCCAAAAGACGACTCTATTTCCGTCTTGCCTCTGTTCTTCAGCAAGCTGAAAGTGCAAAGTCAACATGTTAAGCGCCGCCTTAGCCACGCAGTAATCCACAAGTGAAACTGGCGGGAGCTGCAGTGTCTATCAGTCTGAAGCACTCCAACGGTGCTGGTCGCTGTGTGCTCACCTCCCTAGATGCTGTGCGTGTGAGGCTACCCCTAGCACTGGAGTTCATGATAACTCGTGGGTACTCGGCCTTTCGGAGCAAGGATAGGAAAGCCTGTGTGACTATCCCGTTTGAAGTGATGCAATTGTTGTACACGGCGTTTGTTTTTGACCGAATCTCAGACAGTCCTGACGAGCTAGCAATCTCTAAATTGGCAGCATTATTGACCAAGACTGCAACATATCAGTATGTTGGTTCAAAAGGAAAGTCTTTGGGGAGAAATACCGTCCAACTTCCCATGTTTCTGATCAACAGTTGCGACAGCGGCAGTGATGCTAGCATCGTCCTCGATGTCTAGTTGAAGTACGTCCAGATTCGTTTTGACACCGAGTTCTCTGAGTTTTGTCACAGCTTCATCCCCGGCCACGTTTGAACGGCACCCGATGATCACAAGAGAATCTGGAAGCCGTTCGGCTATAGCCTGGACTATACCAAAGCCAATGCCTCTGTTACCTCCGGTGACAAGGATTGCAGCCATACTGAACGAAGTTAAGGATATTGGCTTTCACTGGAGCAAAAGCCATGGGGGAATACCATTCAATAAATAATTGTATCAATCATGCTCAATGAGACTATTTACCACGGACTTAATGATATACTGTCCGCAAAGCCGATGTTAAGTTTATCGGGGTGGCGGGTGTAATCCCGACACGGCGCCGGCGCCAACTAAATGGAGGCCCGGCCGTCCCCACCCCGGTCTACATTATTTGCGCTCCCTTCAACCGCACAAAGCCAACTTCACCAGAGCAAACACCAGGCAGAGTAGGTGTAGCGATGGCAACAGTCAAGGCGACGGGTATCAAACCCGAGACAACGCCGATAGAAGTAAGCTCACGACTCGGCCAAATTAACAAGCTCATCCGTTCCAGCCGCTGACGATCTTACTCACGCTACTTACATTAGATCAGAGATCGCCGAAACCAAGCGCCGCCCGGCTATTCACAACCCAGCAAGGTGAACAATCAACACCATTGACAGACCGACCTGCTAACACTTACTTCAGTCTGACGTCTCCATCATCCAATACGACTCTGCGCTGGAATCCATCATCGGCTCCAAGCCCACACACGCCCTACTCCTCTCCTCTGCAGAAGGCACTGGCAATGCGTTCTTTCACCGCGGCTGCGTCTACAACCCCTCCCGCAATGAGCTCTGGACGACCTCCGTACCCCTCGCGGCAACCGACCCCTCAAGGCCGGCAACGATCCTCATGTCCAAGGTGACAATCACCGCCTCCCCGCGCGGCGATACCCTGACCGCCGAGTGGGCCAAGCTCCGGCCCCCGCCCGCGATGCCGATGCCGGCCAACGGCTGTCTTGCAGCCAACGGGATTCTATGGTGCTCCCAGGGAACGATGCATCCCGGGACCGGAGGCGTGTTCCACATGCCCGCGGGGCAGCCGCCAAAAGCCGTGGCCACGACGTACTACGGCCGCGACTTCAACTCGCCCCACAGCGCGGCCGTCTCGGGCGACGGCGTGTGGTTTACGGATCCGTGTTGCGGGCACGAGCTGGATTTTAGGAGCCCGCCGCAGCTGCCGCCTTCGGTGTACTTGTACGACCAAACGGCGAGGGAGGTGAGGGCCATGGCGGATGGCTTTGTGAGACCAAGTGGAATCGCTATCGATGAGGCTTCGTCGACGCTTTACGTTGCGGATGCTGGAGGAGTAAAGGCTGATGGGAGTCTGGATTTGGTGCAGTAAGCGTCACGCCTAAGGTGATTTTGTGGTGAATTTGGCTAACATGAGGAACAGACCAAGGAGCATCTACGCATTCGACATTGTGAAAAGAGGGGACGCAATCTTTCTGGCGAACAAGCGTTTATTTGCACTGGCTAGGAGAGGTTCACCTATACATCTCATGTGCGAGAACGGCAACGTCTGGGCAGCGTGTGGTGACGGCATCGAAATTTGGAACAACGGTGGCTCATTACTGGGTTTGATCAAGGTGGCAGGTGAGTAAATATACTCCAAAGATCATTGGCATTAAGCAATATATCTGACTATGTTTGAAAAGGTGGCGTACAGAGTTTCTGTCGAGGGCCAGATAACACGATGTTCCTCTGTGCAGATCAAAGATTATGGCGACTTCAGTTCTCTAACACTCAGAGAAATGCGTCTCCAGAACTCTTGTAGGGTAGCAAGATATTCATGTCCAACATAGAGCGACTCTGTGCCTGTCGTCCCTTTCATTTCTTTCGTGCTCACCCATCCGAGAAGTTGGGAGCATTCGCCTGCATCCAAGCAATCGGTTACTCTAACCCCATGCCTCTCCCAAACAGACTAAGAAGGCGCATGCGGCGCAGTAAGGTCACATCGCCCAATCAAATCATTTACAGTTTGAGTTGCCTGATTAAACGATGAGCGGGTGCTGCCACGAGTCCACAAAACTTGACGATCTACCACACAGTTCCTGTTGGTTCGAATGGCACTGTCAAGCTCAGCTGCATCGCCAGTGGTCAATCAACCCTTGCCCTTTGGGGGAGATTCTGCTGTACAGCAACATGGGGTCTGCCAAGAGGTCGTTCTGCAGCGTGTATGCAGGCATTGTGATGGGGGCTACAATTGCCATATATGTGCAATGGTTTCCCTCGGAACAAGCTTGGATTTAAACTTAATCAATTCTGATCCAGTCTCCATGCTGAAAGCCCCAATTGCTATTACCCTTCAACGATGATGGCGCCTCCTCAAAGGGACCAGAATGTACCAACAAAACCCGAGATGGCCACCCGGGAAACCTCCAAATCCGACAACGGGTCGAAATTGCTACAATGGCCACCAAGAAGGCTTGAAAACGGAACGTCCCGACACTTGGAGATGTTTATGAACAGTGTTTCGATTCTAATGGCTGTCGTTGTCGCGGTTTACGTTGGTCTTCTCTTCCGTTTTAACGGCCTCGAAATCCAGGACTCGCCGGCCATGTGGCGGTTCACACTCGAATTCAACCAACTTGTAAGGACCATCTAAGTGTCTTCATACCACATTGCATCGGGCTAATATGGATAGGCTCCCACTATTGTTCCATTGATGTTCGCCTTCGTTCTAGGCCGGACCATCAGAAGCTTCGCTCACTGGAGGCTGCAGCGAGGGGAGCGTGTTGGTTTCTTGGACAATCTTCTTGGTTCTACGACAATGACTGGGACCGTGACGACAATGATTGACATGAAGAGGATCAGATGGTCAAGCATCGTGTTGGTGCTCATCTGGGCGTTTTCACCTTTAGGAGGCCAGGCCGCTCTTCGAGTTTTACTCAAGAAACCCGAAGCCGTCGTCTCTTTTGCCGAACTCCCATATTTGGATGTCAACACTTCGTTCCCAGCGCAATACATTGGCAGCAACATAGGAAATGCGCAGCTCCCGATCAATTCTCTCGTCTACAGCGCTCTTGGGGCGTCTGGGGAGGTCAGACAGTCCAGCCAAGACACCTCTGGCAATGTCAAGATCCCCATGATTGAGCCCTTGCTTGGTCGTCATAGCACGAAGGCAGACGAGTGGATCACCTTGAACGATGAAGACAGGGCCTCGATAACCTGGTCGTCACTCATCGGCATTCCCTTCGGCAATATCTCGCGAACAGGCAGGACCAGCTTCAAGCTGGAAACTTCGTATCTCGAGATGGACTGTCCCATCTCCGAAGAGACTGAACATGCCAGTGAACTTGTGGTCGACGGAGGATTGGACTGCACAATACCCATCAATGGTAAAACATTCAACTGCAGCACACTCACCTCCTGGGGAGGTCTGTCGACAACGCCGTACCCAGACGGTAGAACAAACGGCACTCGTCGACGCTGCATTGATCCCACCGCGTCGGCGCGCGACTTTCATTACTTTGACTGGTCACCGGCAAAAGACGAGCCAACATATGCCAAGTGCAAGATCAACTCTACGTACGTCGAGACTCAAATCGCCTGCGACGGCTACGACTGCATCCCCACGGCGATACGATCGTCGGTCTCGCCCAGGAACCCGAGCACCAACTTCACTTTCTTCGACAGCTGCCAAAGCGACAATGAACTTGCCAGCTTGTACTTTCAGAACCTGTTCAGAAGCCTCACAGATCCTACTAACCGGCAGAAGAGCCCGTCGATTATCCAGACGTACATAGTTGATCCGGAGAAGGGGCTCAATGCAACGGCGGTCTTCGACTTCCCGCGGGCGATCCATGCCGGGAGAGAGAATTTTGAGATTCGAATGGCGCAGCTCCTAAATACCTACTGGCTAGCCACCATAGGAAACGAGCCTCTTGTCTTGGGGCATCCGGAGAACTACGATATGCTAAGCTATCGCAACACGGTGCATGCGACCAACTTCACCTCGACAAACGCGACTATTTTCACGCCGATCACGGTTCTTAGATATGACACCACGTGGATGGTGATACTTATCATATCTGTTGTTGTTTTGTTTACCGCGGCCATTGCTGGTCTTTTGATAGACTTTGGGGTCTGGGTACCAAAACTGCTCTTGAACATCAGTACGCTAACCAGAGGGAATCCCAATTTCGGCGTACCTGCAGGTGGGGGAGCATTCACGGACGAAGAACGGTCTAGGCTCTTGGGAGACTTGAGGGTCAGATTTGGAGATGCTGAGATGAGCGGCGACAAGCATGATGTTGTGATTGGTGATTGTGTAGAGGATGGTGGGCGTGTAGCCAAGTTGACTCATCGAAGGCTCTACTTCTGATTCATCCTATCGGAAGGGATAATCTGGTTAAGTAGGGGTAGTATAATGCTACACATGTCCCTAACGTCCTTGCTTGTCTCTTTCGTCCTTGCTATCCCCGTCGTCCTTGCTGTTCCTGTCATCCTTGATGCCCTGGTCTGCCCACATGACATATATCTTACTTCCAAGTTAGACATTGTCTAAGTAAGAACAACTGCTGATGACTGAGAGCAGACAAAGAGTGTTACCAAATTTGACATTATGAAACGTCTATAGCCATATCTACAAATAAGTTTGAGTTTGATGCAATGAGGCGATCTGGTCTTTCAACGATCAAGACGTCTACAGAAGCCAAATTCCTCCAGCATCTGCCCGACGACAACCATGCCACCGATGGCTGGGGTGAAGAGAATGCCGGCGCCAATGACCACGTACAAATAGAATGACGTCTCTACCACCCAAAAGTACTTGGTCACCAACCAGTCTATCGCTCGCTCCATGAATGTCGCGTTCTCGAGTGCATACGCTATCGCATCGTTGGCGCCAATCTTGTATACGCCGTGTATCTCGGATGGGAATATCGTGCTGAGTCTGATCAGGGGCCCCATGACGATGCCAAATCCCAGCCAGGAGAGGACCCAAACTCTTTGGTATATCGTGCTGTGGCCCGGGTCGAAGCCGGTGAGCGCGGCGACGATGACGAGCGGTGCCAGTAACAGAACTGTCGTCACGGCGAAATACGAGGCGTGGGCTGCTTGGGACGGCCAAAATGTCCTCAGGGGCTCCTTGATACTGTCAAGGTCGACGCTGGCTACAAGGCTAGAGAACCTGCCGCCCTGTCTCCTTGCCCTGTCGAGGTCCGGCGTGTGTACCAAGTAAATGCAGTTGTACTCGGGGGTGAGGAGCAGGGCTGTCAGGTTGACCAGAGACATGAAGGCGTAGGGCGCCACAGTGACACCAAAGGCAGCGTAGCCATACCTCTGCAGCTGATCACCGCGAGTCCGGTATACCGTGGTGATGCCCCATATCGCCTGTCCCAGGGCGAAGAGGGCCTTGGGGATGTTGTAAGTACTGCCTAGCTGAATATTTGAACGGTCGAGGTGGTTGGCCGTCGAATCCGGCGGCGGCTTCAGCGGCGTTCCAACAGGCACCTCGACCAGAATGAAACCCTTGGGCAGCACGCAGGTCCCGTGGATGGTGCGGGAAGAGTGAACCCAACGACCAGCCCCGCGGAAGCGAGACCGATACCAGGGCGGCGCGGAAGTATCGGTATCGTACCTATGCATTGTAAAGTTAGATGCAAGAAAACTTGAATCCTTTTTTTGAGTTTTATGCGGGTTTCCCCTCCTGTTTTCTCTTATGGTTCATACTAACCAGCTTCGGGAAGCCCTATTGAATCTCATCCTCCTCAACGACCGCTCAATCCAGGAGACTTTGGAGCGTTCTGTTTCGTCGACGACCATGCAAAGAGCCCCCGCCCGCGTGGCCCGGCTGAGTTCATCGCGTCTGACGGTCCCGGCGTGGGAGAGCAGCCAGCGGGCGGCGCGCAGGGAACCGGTGCTCGGGAGGAAGAGGGCCGTGATGACGGTGAAGCAGGTCTCGAGGACGGATTCTCCGGGCCGGCTGGGGAGGGTGAGGGCGTGGACAAAGTAGTTCGTTGCATAGAAGATGATGAAATCGCTCCAGATTGGGGGAGTGCAGAGGAGGCGGGGGTCACCGTGGTTGACGGTTCCCGCGGGGACGGTGATTGTGATGTTCATCGTCAACTGGAGCTGTGGGTTGGGCAGATCTCATGTCTCTGTGTGGTTGAAGAAAGAATAGGAGTTTTGCTTCTTAGAGCTTCTTAGAGACGTAATGTTGAATAACAAGAAGATATGGCAGCATGAATAGTAGAAAGAGAGGGTGGAAAAGACAAGAAACAAAGTCGACGAGGCCCCCGGGATCGATGACGTTGGCAGTGAGAACCGAGAAACGCGCACTCGCGCCTCAGAGACCGGCTCTTGAGTTGAATGTAAAAACGACAGCTTTCAATCCAAGATTTGGTGTCATCTAGAGGAATTGAGCAACTTCATGTTTCCGAATATGAAGCATCACCCACAAGAGATGCTTAAGAAACGAAGTGCATGAGGGGGAAGAGACAGAAGAAGACATTGAGGACGCATCGCCACCATTTCATCAATGTGGAACCAGAGGCCTACGTCTGAGCACAGGAGAAAAGGGACCGAATTGAAAAAAGATCCGACGATATCTCATTCATGAGATGCGTTGAAACAAAGCTCAGCTCCGGGCTGAGTCTTCTTGAACCGCTATTCGCCGGGACTTCAGCAGAGACGGAACAAGCTCCAGCGCATGAGAGACGCCACTTGCCTCGCTTGGTTCCGGTGCAGGCCAGAACCTTGACGCTTCTTATCTTATCGGAGGCTGAGCTGTGTGAGTCATCAACCCCCACCACTAGCGCATGCACTTAAACTTTCGACGCGTCTGGACGCGTCTTTGGATTGAGCATTCCACTCAGAGCGACCCGACATATCCCACCACCATCTCCCAGGTTCAGTAAGAGACGAACACACATCACAATGGCTCCTACTGCAGTCGAATCCGCCAACATGTCCGCCGCCGAGAACCCAACAAAGCAGAACGGCGGCAGCCCGGCCAAGCGCCACGAGGAGTACCAGTATCTCGAACTCGTCCGCGAGATCCTCGAGACGGGGGAGCACCGACCAGACAGGTCCGAAGCGATCGCATAACCACCAGCAATGCACATTCACTGACGAGAAACTCAGAACCGGCACCGGAACATACTCCATCTTCGCCCCGACGCCGCTCAAGTTCTCCCTCAACAAGGACGGCGAGCCCCTCCTGCCCCTCCTGACCACAAAACGCGTCTTCCTCCGCGCCGTCATTGCCGAGCTCCTCTGGTTCGTCGAGGGCAATACGTCGTCCCTAGCCCTCAGTGAGGCCGGCGTCAAGATATGGGACGGCAACGGCTCCCGCGAGTTCCTCGACAGCGTCGGCCTCTCCCACCGCGAAGTCGGCGATCTCGGCCCCGTCTATGGCTTCCAATGGCGGCACTTTGGCGCGGAATACGTCGACGCAAAGACTGACTACACAGGCCAGGGCGTCGACCAGCTCGCCGAGGTCATCCACAAGCTCAAGACGAATCCCTACGACCGCCGCATCCTGCTCAGCGCGTGGAACCCCGCGGACCTGAAGAAGATGGCCCTGCCGCCGTGCCACATGTTTGCCCAGTTCTACGTCTCGTACCCGCGGGCACGCGGCGCGGCGCCGTCGACGGACGAGAAGCCCAAGGGACACCTGCACTGCCAGCTGTACCAGCGCTCCTGCGATATGGGGCTCGGCGTGCCGTTCAACATTGCGAGCTACGCGCTGCTGACACACATGATTGCGCGCGCGTGCGATCTGGTTCCTGGCAGCCTCACGCACGTCATGGGCGACGCGCACGTTTACGCGGACCACGTGGACGCGCTCAGGGTGCAGCTGGAGCGGGAGCCGCGGGACTTCCCGATGCTGGAGATCAACAACAGGGAGGCGGGTTGCAGCATTGATGGGTGGAAGGTGGAGGACTTTGTGGTCAAGGGCTACGACCCGCATAAGACGATTGCCATGAAGATGTCTGTGTGAGAGAAGAGAGGCCTATGCGTTGCGTTCCCGGGGGATGTTTGACGGTTCGGTCTGATTGTTTTTTTTTTTTTTTGGGTCGGCATTTGGAGGGGTGTTGGGATTTGCATTAATGGATGCGACACAATGAGCCGCGATGAGCATGAAATATGCGGGTGAGGAGAAATGACGATTGTCCTTTGAATAGAAAGCATTGCGGGTTGGCAGACAATGAGAGTAATAGCAAGCACACAAAGATAGATGACTTGGCTTATTGCAACTATTTGTTTGCCTCGAATGCTTGCAGCCGAGTCAAGTCCTGGCTGTCATCGAGTTAGTAAAGATTTGATGGCGGCCCGATTGCTGCAAATTGGCTGGCATTTCGGTTACCAATGCGACCGAAATACACCTAGCAGCAGCAGCGGTAGCAGTAGCAGCAGCACCAGGTTTGGCGGGTGAAGACGGCATTTGAAACAAGCAGTACAGTTATGCACCGGGTAATGCAACAAGGCCTGCTGGTGGGAGCTTGGGCCAGCCACCCCTTTGGCGATTTCGCAGCTCCCCATTGGATGCATAACGACACGACATGCAACCTTGGCCAGCAAGCTGCGTACAGTGCGCTGCGCCGTGCCTGGCCCGCGACTGCCACGGCCTCGCTTCTCTCCGGGTGCTAAGTCCCCTTGGTCCCCCGTCCACCCACCAAGTTTTCACTTTCGACGCTTCCTCACCTCCTCCTTAACCGTCACAACCTCCACACCAACCAAAACCTCACTACGGATACAACGATTCCTTCAATTGAATCACAAAAAAAAGGGCACCGACTCTGCCTTATCACATCCCGCCCTCCCGCCTCTGCCACCCCGCCGCCAGCAGCGCGCATCGCGCCTGGCAAGCCGACTTTATCTCCGGGAATACCACCGACCCCCAATCGAAGACCGCCCTTGACTCCCCTCTCGTCGTCGTTGTTGTCGTCGCCGCCGCCCTCGCGCGCGCGACGTGATCCGAGCCACTCATGTCCGCCGCCGCAGTTGCAATGGCCGACCACGACCCTCAACCACACAACGGGCACGACGCGCAGCACGATGCCGCCCACGACCTCCACTCCTCCGATCCCGATGCCAGCGCCCTTGGCGGTCCTGGTCCCGATGGCGTCGACTCCCCCGTATCCACCCCGAAAGAGCGCCACTCCCTCACCCTCGACCAACGCCGCGCCCTCCGCCGCTGGGCCAACGCGCAGACCATCCGGCCCAGTCACAAGGCCTGTATAGACTGGTTCTACAACCAGTACGGCCAACACATTTCTCAGTCTACCGTATCCCACTCCCTCAGCCCAAAGTATTCGCGGCTCGACGGCGACAACCCCCAACTCAGCGGGTCGCGGCTGCGCTTTGGCAACTGGCCTGATGTCGAGAAGCTCGTGCTTAGGTGGTACCAGCAGGTCCAGGCCACGGGACGCCATCCGACGAACGAGGAGCTCGGGGAGAAGGCCAAAGCCATCTTCACGGCTTTGCCACGCTACAAGGACGAGACCCCGCCCGAGTTCTCCCCCGGCTGGATTCACAGGTTCAAGAAGCGGTACGGACTGCTTATTAGGCGGCAGAGACGTCATGGCGAGGGCGGGATGAACCCTGCCGACGACATCGGATACCTCGCCGACTGCGTACCGCGACTGATGGCGCTCTCCGCCGAGACCAGCCCCGCCGCCATTCGCGAGTCCGTCATGCGAGCTCTGGGTGTCGAGGCAAGTTTGCAGACCTGTGCCCTCGTCCGCGACGAGGTCCTCCGCAGAATCAGCAACGCGTCCTCAACAGGCCCGCTGTCGCCCACCACGGCGGCGGCAGCAGCAGCAGCCGTCCCGCCTCCGGACCCACACAGCGCGGACGCGAGCATGGTCGCACCCCCCGGCAGCGACACGCCCATGTACGGCGACGAGGACCCCGACATTGTGCTGCAGAACGCGCTGCGCCAGCTGCAGCAGGAGGAGGCGGAAGCAGAGGCCAACGCGGCCGCGGCTCGAGAGGAGCGCGAGCAGCGTGAACGCGCCCAGGGTACGGCCGCTGCTGCGCTGGCGACGCCCGCCATCCAGCGGGCCGCCTCCACGGCCTCGCGATTCGTCCCATCGACGCCCGAGCTCAACCTGACGCCAATTAAGAATGACGATCCTGTCTCGGCGAACGAGCGGCCCCTGCGGTGTCCGTTCTGCGTGAACCAGAGGATGCTTCGGACGATCAAGGAGGCCGTGGAGCACATGTCTACACACGTAGTGGTCTGATTTGAGGATTTGAGTGAAGCACGGGAGTTTGATTACAGCCGGCTCCCCTGGAGGAGGAAAGGAGGAAAGGAGGAGAGAAGAGAAACGAATGAGAAATACCCAACTTTGTGATTATCAATACTGGCGACTCGGATCGTCTGGAGTACTTTTATTTTCTACGGGAGCAAACTCACGTGCTCTTGAACAAGCTTGCGGACTTTCCCAACCCATCGAAAAAAGGAGAGGCCGGCTGCTTCTTCTCTCACCGCCAAGCGCAGGTTTATTTCGCAGGAATCATGAGCAATGCATGAGATCAGGAGCAGGGCGCGGCATGGCGCACGAAGGGAGTTTTTATTCGCTACCCTGTATGTAGCCTTATAATGAAGGTTTTTTTACGTTCACTGTATATTCCTCTCTGCCTGCTTTGCAACACCAAGATGAGAAGTTCGCTCGAAGGCGCTCATTACTCGTCAGACTGTTAAAACTAGTCACTTTATTGCACACATGCATACACTTCGTCACATTTTGTGGTCGAAGAATGTTGAACTGGTTGATCTTTGTCTCTTTCTCGCTCAAGTACTGGTGTTGCACTATCATCCACTGACTTTCTGGCTCATCCGCATCATCCACTCATCATCAAAAGAGCCCTTCTATCCTCTGGCCTTCTCCTGTGACGCAGAGCGTGAGGGACCAGAGAAAGGGCCCTTGGCAAACTCCCGTGTCGATAAAATGGGAAGAAATATGGCAAGTCAAGTCTGCCGTTTGCCCAAATATAACGCCCGCCAATGTCCCCATTTCCCATATCCTCATGATGGAAGCAATTCCGTCTTTCGTCTTTTGAGAAACTCTTGGACAAATGGACCCCCGGGGGCCGCATCAATAATTCTTTTTGTTTTCCCGTCATCAACATCAACATCAGTCGAGGAAAATCGTAAATAGGGGACCTGCCGAGGCCAAAGAAGCGTAAAAGAAAAGAAAGGTAGTCGCTGGCGCGTGAAGGAAAGTCGATCCACTGGCATCATGGTCGCATGTATATCAAGTCCAGCTACTAAGAGAAAACAATATAGAAGTGAAATTCGGCCATCGCCTGTATAACAAGACAGAGTGTGGCAATGCGTCGCGTGCGCTGGGAATCATGAAACAAGAATGCAATGGCGGTCGGGAATATGCTTTTCTTCGTAGACAGTCGCAGAAACCATTGGGGACCACAAGCTCGCGTGCGCCTGAATCATACTTGCTCAATGTATAGCAAGAGCTTGTCGTTACGGTCCAGAGCAGTGTCGAGATCGTTGTCGCTCATGAGATTCGGCTTTTCTCCAGTTCGGTCGTCCTTGTAAAAGAGTTGGATCTCTTCTCCAACAGGAATCTTGAGTCTGTCTGAGATCTTGTCGTAGAGCTGCTGGAACGAGATGTCATTCGGCACTCGGATGGCGATGAGGTCACCGTTGAAGTAAAGCTTAATCTTCATGGCCTGGGCTTGGGCAATACCAGGTGAGACAGATGGCTGGGATTGGGACAGCGATGATGGCTGCCGAGTCATGCCTGGCTGGCCCATAGATCTTTGCTGTGGCGCTGCGGAAAGCCCCGCGTAGCCGTTTCCGTTCAGGTTATTCCTCGACGATTGTCGCGACGCACCGTCCGCCGGCGAATCCGTTGACGATGGCTGGGAGCCGCCCGATAGTCTGTACTCATCTTCGTTCGGTGCGTTGGGGTCGATTTCGTAGTCGCCCTCTCTAGGAGCGAAAAACTGTCTGACGAGGGGGCACCTGGCGATATACGCAGGTTGTGCGAGGAGGTTCTTAACGTAGGCGTCCAGATTGTGTAGGCGACCCTCGGTAATGGCATCAGTAACGTAGTTGACGGGCCCCGGCATGTACGGCAAGGTGCGCTTTTGCGTTCCTGTGTTGCCTGCCTCTGCGGGAAACTCGGTGAGGAGCGCGATTTGGAAGTCGTAAAAGTCCTCGTAGTATCGAGAGAGCTCCCAGTGACGGCCATCCTCCAGCACAGCCTCGATGACAAACCAATACTTGTCCTCGGCAAAGCAATATCTGGGGATGCGGGCTGAGATCGGGGCATACAGCTGGTCGGCGGATTTGGTGTAGGGGGTAGTCGGCTGCGATGCCGCCTGTTGGGAAGTTCGTGATTGTTGGTAATTCGCCTGTTGTTGCTGCGGCTGCACGACAAGTTAGTTTGATACAAATGAGAATGAGGTGGGTTTGGCTTACGAAACTGTTACCGGTCTGCTGGGAGCCACGACGTTGGCCTTGCTGGATGCTCATGCGCTCCATGCCTTGCTCCAGAGAACCTTGCTGTGGCGCACCGCCGACATCGAACTTGCCCAGCGTAATGCTGCTGTTCTTGTAGTCGGCAGCCATCTTCTTCCATTCCTCAACCTTGGGGATACCCGCCTTCTTGATAGCGTCTGAAGCATTGCCAACAGCGCTGTCCGTCGCCATGTCGCGAATTTCGACAAATGACACGGGGATAAGACCTGGCCCACCAAGTCGACCGATAGGCTTTGCAACGAACCACTCGGGGTTGGATTGCGCGATGACGATGATGGCTTCACCAGCCTTGGCTTCCAGTTCGTCGGCGCGCTCTGCAACAAAGTCGTACATTACGATGCCGTAAACCATCGCGCCAGATCCCTTGCCAGCAGATCTGGACATGCGCTGCATCGCAGGAGGTGATTGCATGGCACCTGGAGGCGGTGCGGCTTCGGCATAGCCGGAATCGTGGTCGGGGTTCTTGGAAATAGTCGGTGACATTGTTGGGGGTCGGGGCAAGCCGCCACCGTCGGACTGGCCGCTGTCTCTCTCTGTACGGCCCAAAGCCTGGAAAAACGCGACAGGCACGAGACCGCGAGCGTCGGGCAAGGCTGGGTTGCAGGCTTCGTACCAGTCGGGGTCGTTTTCTCTTCCGATTACGTGGAAAAAGTCGCCTCGGGAGAAGCTTAATTCCTGGTTGGACTGGGCTTCATAATCGTATAGGGCTCGGATAACCTGGAGGCGGGTCTTTGGTCAGCAAGCTGGGCGTCGTAAGCTTTCCCCCCCGGTTGCCCCCTGGTTGGGTTGGGCGCGGCATCCAGCACTGGGGAGGATGGTGGAGCGGGCAGATAATTTACACACCTTCTTCGGAGGGACGATGGCAACGGCGGACTTTGGGGCGATGCTGATTTTGGCGTTATCCTTTTCGCCCTTGATGGAGCGACGGAGGGCCTGTAGTAGGTGAGGCACCGTTAGTAGGTGATCGGAGAAGCGATTTCTGGCTATCGATTCGCGAGACATCTTGCTTGAGCGCATGCGGGGTCAGGAGGACGAGGAAAGAAGGAAGCAGAGTAAGTGACAAAGTCGCAGAGCCGATATGAGCAATCCAGCTTTCGGCATGAAAATGTCAATCGCGCAGTGATGTGTTGTGGAGGAAATCGCAAGCACACGTGGTGATGGTGATATGCGCGCATCTGGCTTCATACGAGGGAAGACGAGGGGGGTGTGTGTGGTTGAAATGGGGGGAGGGGGGGAATGAGACGGAATGCAGCGCAGCGCAGCGCAATGCAGCGGCGGTGGCAGGCAAGATTAGGAAGAAGCACAGCGGCAGGTACCAGAGGGGACGATGAATCACGAACCTTCATCTTGTGTGACACTCCCTCTGGATGAGGGTAAGAGTGAGGGCGAGGGCAGTCGCAGGCGTGTAGAGACTGGTAACCGTAACCTGGCGAGATGGAAATTGAATGCGAAGCTCGAAATGGAAGTGGTGACGGGGGGGTACGGGGGACGGGACGGGGGACCCTGTGGCACCACGGAGAATCGATAGGAGGTTAGGGAGCGAAATGTTCCTTCCGCACAGCCTGATTGGGCGCAAACAGGGGTTGCAGCAGAGAATCGGTGCGACGACGAGGACGACGAAGACGACGACGACAACAGGCAGGAAGTGCTTGAGGTGTGGTGTCTATGTCTCGTTTTGCGTGTGTCGCTACTGGACGTCGATGCTGCGGCTGCTGCTGCTGCTGCTGCTGCTGCGGGAGGGTGTCGGTGTCGCAGTCGCAGAGGCTAAAGCAGTTCCTGCTCTGTTGCAAAACAAGCCGAATGACGCACGGAGAAGGCGCTGGTGAGAAGGTGCGGATGTGGTGGTGGTGGTTGTTGCTTGTTTTTTTTTTCTTCCCTGGTACCCAACTGAGGAAGGAGGGGAGGGGCCGGGCTGATTGATGCCGGTGCAGACGGGAAGGAAGCAGGAAGGGAGGGGCGATGATGACCGGGTCGCACTTTCCTGGAAATTGCGCTGTTCGCTGAGTCGATGCCGTTGGGCGTCTGAGGGAAAATTCCGAAAAAGGAGGGAGAAGAATGTAGAAAGAAAGGAAAACCCGAAAAAGGAACGGCTGAGATTGGGACGTCGCCTTCCTTCAGAAAGTTGACGTCGAAGTCGGACTTTGTTCGAAAGTGTTGGTTGTTCGTTCCCTTACAAACTTCCTACGCTGCTCTGCTTCTTCTTCTCGGTTCCAAAACTCGGATTCTCTGTGTGCTGATGCCGAACGTTTCCACGCAAACACAGTCTCCTTTTGTCGACCAACAAGTCCTTCCGGCTTTCCCGCTTTGAGGCAACGTTGTCCAGTTGTCTTTCTGTCCTCTGGCTGATCGATCGACTGACCGGCGTGCTAGGCTGTCTCTCCCTGGCTTTCTTATTCCGACTCGGAAGTTGGCTGTCTGTCTCTCGCTCTCGGCCTCCGAAACAAGATGCCCGCAAATCAACTCGGGCTACACAGTGCTGCTCGTTGGGGTCGCAAGAGTTGGCAGTGCGTATACACCTAAGCGTCACTCCTCAGTCTATGACTGTCGTCCAAGGTCCAAAGTTGAAGTTCGACTACTCGGCGAAGTGCAAAGATTGCGCTGGAATGCGGCGGGCCGGCTGTGAGCGAAGTGAATCGACCTGGAGGGGTGAAGTGAAGGCAAGGGAAACACGTCAAGAAAGGACGGCGGACGGGCGAGGGTAGAAAAGGCTCGTTCGCCCAACCCAAGCCTCTTTACCTCTGGCAGACCAGCTGCCCAAGCCGGGGTACCTGGGTACGCACCACACGCTAATACTACCCTACGCCCACGCAGCCCGCCGTACTTAGTACGCACTTCCAATCCCCGGGATGCGCTCCCAAATCCCACAAGAACAGACGAAAGGGAAGTCCACGAAGCCCAGGAAGGGGGGGAGGGCCCGGAGAGGGGGGCACAGCTGCACCGCAACGGTTGGTAATGGGCTTGCCTGGTGGGACTCCCCGTCTGCGCAGTCACCAACCCAGTTACCACTCCAAGACCATGCCCGCGAGATACCCTGGTCTGTATGGTACACAGTACCTTACCCGTCCTGGCCTGTCCGTTCGCTGGGCGTGGATGGGTAAATTGCGCTAGGGTTGCGGGTGGGTGTCCTGACTCCAACGAGGGTGTCGGCCTGCAGATTATGGGTGATGCGACCTTCGTGTGCGTCTCTCGGTCCTGTCGACGTCGACGAGGGTGAGTGCTCTTGACACAGCCTGGCTAGCAAATGTTTCTTTTCTAACCTTGGAATTGCTGCTCCCACTTCTCATCAGATTCTTATTCCCATCCGGATATCAGTCCATATTCATGCCTTGCGCTCTCAACCTTTCCCGGCGGCTGTCACCACTGCCATCGCATGACCGGCGCTGACCAGACTAAAAAGCCCTTCGCGCCATCCCGTAACGCAGTAACGTTCGGGACTCACCCGTTGCTGGACAGCTAGACAGCAGCCAGACAGCGGCGGCTCACAGGCACGGAGACTAAACCGACTTGTGTACGGATCGGGCATTGCGCGAAACTCAGCGGGCGTGGCAACCACATTAGCAGCCCTCACCTCAGATGGAAAGCTTAATCGCTAAGAGGGCCTACGGAGTATGGTCGAACGGGAGACGGTGATAACGAAAGAAGCTACATGTGCTCCTGACTTCTACTGTCAATCCTCGGCTCTCAGTGGATAGCCTGTATGTTAACGCGACAGTCTTGTGCCTCGCCCGCGTCCTACGGGCAGCTCTGGTCGCATGCCACTTGCAGCTTGGCCAACGACAGAGTTCAGGGACGGCTTCCTCTCTGCCAGTCATATCGTGCAGATGCATGTCTCGCCTTCATGCTCCCAAGCCTCATGCCGGTGGCTGCACCGGCTCTCCAAGCCGAAGCAACGCATCTGGGGATGCTCGGAGAGGACCTGATGGATCCGTGGAAACGGCAGGGCAGGGCAGCCCAGGCCCCAAACCACCAGAAATCCCGGTGCTGTGCCCTATGACGGCACTGTCGTATTCTTACAGGGCACAGCACCGTGGCTAACAGCAGGAGACACACGACGACTCGCACAACTGACACGAGGTATGGCTGGGTCACCACTGAGCAAGCAGCATCGCATCGCATCGCAGCGCAGTTCCAAGACACACCATTCCGTTTGCTCAGCCCTTCTCTGTGATACTCCCATCGGCATTCCATCGCAAGACGACGACTAGCATCTCGTGCCGTTCACCTTCTTCAGCAAGCCAACAAGTGCACCTAACTGTCTTGTAGCTAACCGAATTCTCGTTCTGCGGCTAGAAGGACAATTATCAACCAGCAGATGGATCTAAGGCTTATCTTAGCCTCCCCTCGTCAACACTCATGGTCATTCTTTTCCCCCGCGGTTGCACAGCTTTTGCCACTGTCTTCCTGGGCACGCACATGGCATCTCCTCCGCTAAAACACAGACCTTCTGCTCTCCATCAACACCCCATCCGAATGACATTGACCTTACACGCCCCATGCGAAACAACGGCATGCAGCCAATAGCATCAGTGTTGAGCTTTTGACACTTGCTTTTGCATGAACTGACCTCTTCTTTTAAACAGCTTATCCCTTCAATGGCCGAATTGTCAAGCTTGGCTCATATCGCAGTGCGACGCAGGGGACTGGACAAGAGAAGAGACTTGGAGCGGCATCTTATCGATTAACGCAAAGACTCTCTCGCTCCCTTGTGATCCCGAGCAATGCAGCAGGACGGGGTATCCTGTACCTCCCTCCATCTATCGGCCACAGTCTAACAGAGTTCTTCCTTCTTCGCAGCCAGGAACAGCTTACCATCCAGCACCAAGAAATGCCTCTCTCCTGCGACCCCTGTTCTTTGCGGCGGACCCGGACGGTTTTTCACAGGACCCATTGAGTTCCAGCCTAATGACTGCAACGGCCCAGTCAAGGTGCCATTTCGGTCTCAACCCAACGACCGTCGAACCTTGCCACACGGAATCCTTCCCCGGCTGGCTGGATTCGCTACAAGCGACAAGCGATTGCACTGGATGCTAAGGATTTGCAGGCTGAGGGCACAAGGCGTACGCGGCAGTCTCGGGGTATTTCCTTCAGCCTCTAACGCGCCTCTTCATCGAGACTTGAGGAATAAGGAACTAATGGAGTCACAAATTGGTTCAATGCGACGCAGGCTTCGCAAATTCACAGCAAGCTGGCGTACTCGATGAACCAGGTTTGAATCTCACGAAAGCCTGTTCATCAAGCGAGGAATGCCATGGTAAATATCCCGAGCTGTATTGCAAGGGTGTCGTGGATCCAACGCGATCCTTGCCAAGCTTACGGGTACATCGCGAATCTTTCTACAGTTGTCTCTGACTGGTTATGCGAATATCGTCGACTGATACAGCGCCCATTAATGGCGACTCTACGCAGTACTGCTATGCGCCCTCTCGCCAATCTTTTCCCAGGCGTTACCTCCACCAGTCACGCGGCCGAAACCTAATCGGATTGTGCATCCTAACGGCATGGCGATCTCGCCCTACCGTTGGCTCTTGGTCTTTGTGTGCTTTGTGTTCAAGCTAAAAGAAGTACTTCTGAGCTAACCTAGAGAGGATTTCAAAGTCTAGGCCGGGCTAGAAGACGCCCCAGCCAATTGATCAACAAGTTGCGGACCAGCTTACGCGCCAACGCGTCGGTTGAGCAACTTGGCGCGCGCGTCCACAAAAACACGACACCCACTGGCTTGTTGAAATGAAGGTCAATTCAAGTTGGACAGAGTCCGGCTCTTCAACGCCGTATCATTCTACAGAATGCTCATCACGGCGACCGCGTTGTACCTTGTATGGCAGAAACCATGCGCATCTCCTCAGAATGACCTCATCCGAGGACAGCCTCGGCGACGGCGCCTTCTCTCTCCGTCCCAACTTTCCAACGCTTCGAATAAATTGCTGCTTCTCCATTCGCCCACCCCTGGTGCTTATGATGTCGCCTTAGCTTCGCCTAGCACAGAAAGCGTTAAGGCTGGTGCAAGAATCCTTGTTAACGTCCCGTTTCAGCGGGACGGTTCAGGAACCACATCCCCGCCTCTCTTGGCTCTGCCAGTGAGTGACGGAGGTGGCAGTCTTGATATCAGCGCTGTGTCGTCTCGTTCCTGTTGATCACTGCAGCCTGTCACCTGTCTGCGGGAGCTCGGCGGCGAGAGTCAAAGATAGCGGGAAATATCTTAAATCCATTCTTACCCGCATGGTGTCACTTCTAAACCGGCGTTATCATCCATCCATGGTGCGGTTAGGTTTATCGACCCTGGGCTACTGCACACAATCATGGCATTTCAAGCTCTTGGCAGGGGATGACGTATGCTGGGACGTTGGCA